CGGGCCCTTCGCGGGCTTTCTCCACAAAATTGAGGTCTAACGTGAAGCCTCGTAACAATTCACTATTTGATTCAACCAGGCAGACACAACCCTAAACGAACAACCTTGCCTATCAATGGCAATGGCATCAAGAAATTAGGGTTTCAGCTTCGAGGCTGGAGAGAGCAAGAGAGTGGTGGTGGTGGTGGTGACGCTGTAAGTCTGATCGCATCGCATGGGGTTGCTGCTGCCCGTAACTACAGGTGAAATGACTGGAGGTTGTTGGCGGGATGTGGAGCATCTGCCCAGACAATTTTGTCACTGCCCAACTGCCGTTGACAACTCACTCATGCCCGTGGTGACCACTGGCGGACAAGCAAACAGGTGCAAAAGCAATTGTGACTGCCGCGCAAAAATGTTACCGGAAAGCTGTCAGGAATGGGATTCGAACCCATGCCCTTTCGGACCAGTACCTGAAACTGGCGCCTTAGACCAACTCGGCCATCCTGACATGACAACATGCTACATAAATAAATACCAATCAGAATCCAGCACACATTAGTCCTGCACTTGACCATCCTGAATTCCTGCTGCAACAGCACTTAGGTCTGCCGTACATTAGCTTCTGCAAGAAGTTTATGGACAGCAGAAATCATGGAAGGGACCTCCTCATCAGAGGCTGTTCCGGATGCACGCCAACGGACACGGCCCTTGCCATCCACGAGGAATGCATACCTGCAATCAGAGGACACCAAAACAGAACAGAGCCAAGAGAGGCAACAGACGGGTTGAATAAATAAGAGAGTGGCTTAACCACCAGCAGCAGGAGTAGGCAGAAAGAGCACTTGCCCTGTGAGTCTGTTGACAATGCCCAGTCTCTTTCTGAACTCCCACGTGTCACCAAACGCGTACACCGTCAGTCAACACACCATCAACGCCCTCCGAATCACCAGCAGCATCGGTCAAGCGTGCCTGCTGCTTGGCTTCAGCCCCGCGCAGGCTGCTGAGCAGCCAGGATCGAACGGGACGCACGGACAGCAGCCATGACTCCACCCAGGAGATTTGGCACAGCACACACAGAGGCCGGAGGAAAGAGTGAGGTCTGTCCGAGGCTGGAGAGGAGGAGGATGTGGTGGAAGGGACTGTGGAAGTGGAAGGGACTTTGGAAGTGGACGGGAGTGTGGAAGTGGGTGAAGTGGAGGCGGGGTGAACAGAGGGAGAACTGGGAGAAGTGTGCTGGAGGAAGGGCTTCAGCCATGACTCCACCATGCCCTGAGGAGCATGAAAAAGAGAAGAGGAGTGAAAGAATTAGGAAAGGGCCAGACTAAGAGTAATGGCAGTGGCTTGGGAGTGAGGGATGGTGGTAGCAGCATCAGTAGGGTGAAGGGGAACATGAAACAGGAAGGCAGTTGTCACTCCAGCGAAAGAGAAAGGCAGTTGCTTCACAAACAACAGGGAGGCATAAACAGATTTGCACCTGAGCGTTTGCACGGAACGCCACGCAGACTAGAACCACTCGACACGTGTCACCCTGCAGCTCGAGAGGCAGCTCCACCAGCGTGTTGGATGACGTGGTTCCCGTAATTCGCGGAAACTCCGCGGCTCCGGCGGCTGGAAGCGGCGAGGAGGTAGGCGACGGGCCCACTTTCCCGGCAGTTTCCTTGAGCTCCTTGAAATCGTCGAAGTATCCGCGGTTTAACTCGTCCTTCAGGCGCTCGATCTCCTTCTCCCGCGACTCTTTCCGGAAAACGGTGAAGATGTTGAGAGAGCGGGAGGGAACGACGGCTGGCGATGAGGAGGAGAGATCTAGACCGTGGATCGTTGCGTGGGCGAGTTTGGGATGAGATCGAGAGATTTCTGATCGGCGACGTGACTGTAAATGCGAGTGATTATGACGGGTCCTCGACACGGAAATGAACCGGGACGAAAAATGGGGATATGGTAGTGATTGTGACAGAAACGGCTGCTGCGCCGGCTGCTGCTGCGATTGCGTCTTGTGGGGAAGTGGTGAGGTCGGGAAGCCACGGCTGCAGGAAGAGGTGTGTTGTTGCACGTAGTGTGCTCGGATCGACGCTATGACCAAGCCAGGATCGCGTGGCAAGTCATGGTAAAAAGAGCGTACGAATGAAGAGGGAGACGCTGCTAAGAGCGACTGTCCTATGCGGCGAATCCCTGAACCAGACGCCATTCCGCCTGACAACTCCGAAGATCGTGCTTTGGTCTCGTGTCTGCCTTGTAGTAGGCAAGCAGAGGGCCTCACCTCCCCTTCACCCCCTCTGCGACAGAGTGCACGCAAAAACTCGACATACGTAGCTGGATACTGAAGTTGGAATCTCTTTTGACTCTGCGCTGTAGGCATCCATCATAGTTGTAATATCGAGGATACTCCCTCAATACCTGACTGGGAACCCAGATTCATCGCGCGGAGCGAACAAGCCACGTGTTGCCGACGGATGGGTTCCTCAACCATCGAGCCAATCTGGAGACACGCTTTCAATAACGCAGCCTCCGTTATGTGCACACTCGTACACAAACTGTACGAGACACGAGCACATTACGACATTCCATTCCCATCCCACCCGCTTTACCAAGGCATGAGGCATGAGGGCGTGTCACGAAAGTGGGGTATAGCAAACACCATACTCAACCGTTTTATAAAATTATTTCAACGTTCTCAAACGCAAAATATCGTATCGAACCACAATCGGATGTACTTGTGGCACGCCCTGAGGCGCATTAGGAGGAGCCACCCCCTGCTCAGATTCTAGCAGGTCATTCTGTGAAGCTCTAATCGCCCTAAAATATGAGCTTCATATTACCGAATCCGTACAGATTAGTTAGCGGCGCCATTCTAGAGGTCTTGTATTCCTGAACTAATTGCTTCCACGTCCTCTGATCTTTCTTTCGGGGGAACGGCGTGTATCACGCAGAAAATGGCAGAGCTGGTTGGACCAGGCCGCCTTATCTCTGGTGGCCTCTGCACTGCCTGGCACTCAGCCGCCAGCACATCTCCTCGTGGCGGTGTGATACACGCCGCCAGCAATCTCACCAATCTTACCAGCACATCTCCTCGTGCTTCTCACCAATCTTACCAGTGTCATCAGTCTTATAAACCTTGCCATTCTTACCAGTCTTATCAACCTTACCTGAATTTGTCCCGTCATGGCTCCCCCACTCGGCAATTGCGGACCGTCGGATTCAGCTGCTGTGGTTTCCCAAATCGACGGTTAGAGCGTGATAGCGTTAACCAATCGCGGAGGAGAGGGTTCAGCTGCCGTGCCAAGTCAGTCATCGAAGGCGACGACATCCGAGGTGTGGTTATGAGGTAACCCGGTTTCATTATTCGCAGAAACATTCCGGCATAGAGAGCTTTAGACCGGCCGCGCGACTTATCAATTTATTCTGAAATGTGCTGGCACTCAGTTTAACTCCATATTCCCGGCCATGGCTCCCATGCTGCCAGTTCATGCTAGTAGCATGAACCAGCGCTAGCCACGCAATTTCACAATTCATCCACCTTCTTTCCGTGAGAGGTACCATGGGTCAATTCACCCTTCCTCGCGCCTTCTCTCCTCCTCATCCACCTTCTCTCCCCCCTCGTCTCCCCCCTCGTCTCCCCCCTCGTCTCCCCCTCGTCTCCCCCCTCGTCTCCCCCCTCGTCTCCCCCTCGTCTCCCCCCTCCACTCCCCCCTCCACTCCCCCTCTCATCTTCAGAGGCGTTTCCTGACGTACCGCCGCACAAGCACAAGCACAAGCACCGCCACCAACCAGCTCAGCTAGGAGGTTCAGAGGCGCCGATAGAGACAGATTTGGCTTTTGAGTCGACTCAAAATACACCGACAGAGACAGATTCGGGGCGAGAAGAGAAGGAGGCAGGAAGAGAGACACGGACTGAGGAGGGGCAAGACTTGGTGACAAAGTCTCAGCCAGAGGGGCTCACCCTGCAGTCCCTGCTGGCTCGCTCCGCGTCTCTACCCCGGTCTATCTCCCCTGAGGTGGTGGCCATCGCCAGTGTGTACTTCGTGCAGGGCGTGCTGGGCCTTGCTCGTCTGGCCGTCACCTTTCTGCTCAAGGACGACTTCCAGCTCGATCCGGCTGAGGTGAGCACTGTTCGGGTCTGTCTCCTCTGGAGCAGTGTTCTGGTCTGTCTCCTCTAGAGCCAAGGCTACCTCCCGTGAGGTGGTGGCCATCGCCAGTGTGTACTTGGTGCAAGGCGTGCTGAGATTAGCTCGCCTGGCCGTCAACTTTCTGCTCAAGGACGACTTCCAGCTCGATCCTGCTGAGGTGAGCACTGTTCGGGTCTGTCTCCTCTAGAGTGCAGGCTATCTCCCCTGAGGTGGTGGCCATCGCCAGTGCGTACCTCGTGCAGGGCGTGCTGGGATTAGCTCGCCTCGCCGTCACCATCCTGCTCAAAGACGACTTCCAGCTTGGCTCCGCGGAGGTGAGGGTGAGGGCAGTGTGTGTAGGCTGGAACTTACTAGAGAGGGCAATGTGTGTAGGCTGGAAATTTACTCGTGTGCATGATTGTGGCTGCCTGGAGTGCTCGGCCTTCCTCCACCTGGCCGTCACCTTACTCTTGAGTCGACTTTTGAGGCGCCTCAAAACTTCCTCCACCTGGCCATCACCTTACTCTTGAGTCGAATTTTGAGGCGTCTCAAAACTTCCTCCACCTGGCCGTCACCTTACTCTTGAGTCGACTTTTGAGGCGCCTCAAAACTTCCTCCACCTGGCCGTCACCGTACTCTTGAGTCGACTTTTGAGGCGCCTCAAAACTTCCTCCACCTGGCCGTCACCGTACTCTTGAGTCGACTTTTGAGGCGCCTCAAAACTTCCTCCACCTGGCCGTCACCTTACTCTTGAGTCGACTTTTGAGGCGCCTCAAAACTTCCTCCACCTGGCCGTCACCTTACTCTTGAGTCGACTTTTGAGGCGCCTCAAAACTTCCTCCACCTGGCCGTCACCTTACTCTTGAGTTGACTTTTGAGGCGCCTCAAAACTTCCTCCACCTGGCCGTCACCTTACTCTTGAGTCGACTCAAAAGTATAACGTAGGCTAGATGGCGACAGCCAACAGATCTTACTCCGAACAACTCAAAAGTCACCTTCCTGCTCGAGCGCATGCTCTAAAGGAGGGCTTCCAGCTTGACCCCGCCGAGGCGAGCAGTGGCGTGTGCACTGGCGTGGGCACTCGTGCTGCTGTGCATATATTGGCGGACGAAGGTGCTTGTCCTTGCTCCCTTACTTACTCCCTCAACCCCCTCCTCTCTCTCTCCCCCCAGATGCCGGTGCTACCAGGCCTCTCCTCCCTTCCGGGGCTCATTAAGCCCATCCACGCCTTTAAATAGCAGCTTGCGCCCCCCCCCTTACCTTCTCCCAACTCCCAATCCCCTCTTCCCGTTTTCCCGTCCACACCCCCCCAGGTGGCGGTGCTGTCGGGCCTCTCCTCCCTCCCCTGGCTCATCAAGCCCGTCTACGGCTTCATCAGTGACGGCATCCCGCTCTTATTCCCGTCCGCTTCCCTCCTCGTGTTCCCCTCCCTCCATACCCCCAGGTGGCAGTGCTATCAGGTCGGTCCTCGCTGCCCTGGCTCATCAAGCCCGTCTACAGCTTCATGAGTGACAGCAGACCCCTCGTGGGCTACCGCCTAAAAAACCCCCCACTTTCCCCCTCCCACTGTCCTTTTGAGGCGCCTCAAAAACCCCCCACTTTCCCCCTCCCACTGTCCTTTTGAGGCGCCTCAAAAACCCCCCACTTTCCCCCTCCCACTGTCCTTTTGAGGCGCCTCAAAAACCCCCCACTTTCCCCCTCCCACTGTCCCCGCCCTCTCTTTCCCCTCCCACCCAGGTGGCGTTGCTGTCGGGCCTCTCCTCCCTCCCCTGGCTCATCAAGCTCCTCTACGGCTTCATTCTACGAAACCCTTCCTTACCTCCCCCCCACCCACCCCCCCTCCCCCCCCCCAGGTGGCACTGCTGTCGGGCCTCTCCTCGCTCCCCTGGCTCATCAAGCCCGTCTACGGCTTCATCAGCGACGGCATCCCTCTCTTTGGCCACCGCTGCCGCTCCTACCTCATTGCCTGCGGGCTGCTGCTGGGATCTCCTTACCCCCCTCAAACTCCTCTCCTCTTTCCTTTCCCTCCTCAACTCCCCTTTCCCCTGTTCCCCACGCTCCTTCCCTCTCCCCTTTCCCCTGTCCCCCCCCCCAGGTGGCGGTGCTATCGGGCCTCTCCTCGCTCCCCTGGCTCATCAAGCCCGTCTACGGCTTCATCAGCGACGGCATCCCGCTCTTCGGCTACCGCCGCCGCTCCTACCTCATTGCCTGCGGGCTGCTGGGCTCCCTCGCGTGGGCCTCCCTGGCGTCGGTGGTGGGGGATAAGTACTCCGCTGTCGCTATGATCCTGCTCTCCTCGCTGTCTGCTGCTGTTTCCGATGTGGTGAGTGCGGTGATGAGTGGTGTAGTGTGGTCTATTAAATGGTGTTGTCGCAATGACCCTGCTGTCTTCCCTCTCGGCCGCTGATTCACCTGCCTGCTCACTGCTCCTCCTTTCTTCCCCACCCCTCCGCCCCTCCCCCCCCCCTGCTGCCGCAGGTGGTTGACGCAATGGTGGTCCAGAGGGCACCGAGAGAATCTCAGGCCACATCAGGGGCCCTCTTTTCCTTACTCTCTACCCTACTCCTCACTCAGTTTCCCCAACCACTGCTACCACACCTCCCCACACCCCACCTTGTTCCCATTCCGCAGGTGGTTGACTCAACGGTGGTCTTGAGGGCAAGAGGCGAGTCCCAGGCCACATCATCAGAGGGCCTTCTTTACCTATCCTCTACTAAAAACCCTTACTCAGTTCCCTTAACCACTGTGTCCGCACCTCCCCCCACCCCCCACCTTCTTCCCATCTCGCAGGTGGTTGACTCAACGGTGGTGCAGAGGACAAGAGGCGAGTCCCAGGCTGCATCACTTGGCTCGTTTCCTCCTCTGCCGCCTCCCTATCCTTTACTTCCAAATCCCTCCCTCCCCCGCCTCCACCCATAGGTGGTTGACTGAATGGTGGTCCAGAGGGCGAGGGGAGAGTCCCAGGCCACATCATCAGGGGCCCTCTTTTCCCTATCCTCTACTCTACCACTCACTCATTTCCCCCAACCACTGCTTCCGCCCCCCCCCTTCACCCCTCACCTTCTTCCCATCTCGCAGGTGGTTGAATCAAAGGTGGTGCAGAGGGCAAGGGGGGAGTCCCAGGCCTCATCGGGGGGGCTGCAATCCCTGTGCTGGGGGTCGTCAGCTGTAGGCGCTGCTTTCTCACCGTTTGGTTTGTCCTTCCCCCCCCCCCCCCCCCCCCAGGTGGTCGACTCAATGGTGGTGCAGAGAGCTAGAGGCGAGTCCCAGGCCACATCAGGGGGGTTGCAGTCGCTGTGTTGGGGGTCGTCAGCAGTGGGTGCTGTTCTCTCAGCGTATTTCAGTGGTTCGCTCATCGAGAACTATGGTACTAGGTGAGCGACGGCTCATGTGGGTGAGAACTATCACCTGCAATAACGCCAGCCAGCCAGCCAGCCACAGCCGTCCTGCAATGCTCTTTGTTGGGGTCATCAGTAATGGGTTTTGCGCTCTCAAATCAACCGGTTTGAATGGCTTACTAGTTGCAAATGATGGTATAGCAGGGCCCATAAGCCAGCAGGACCCGTAAGCCAGCAGGGCCCGTAAGCCAGCAGGGCCCGTAAGCCAGCAGGGCCCGTAAGCCAGCAGGCCTGCTGTTCTTCACAAATCTCCTCTTTCTCCCTTTGCCTCGTCCCCTTCCGTCTCTCCCACCTTCCCAGGTTTGTGTTCGGAGTGACAGCCCTACTGCCTCTTATCACCACTGCAGTTGGCTTCTACATCCGAGAGGACAGGGTCACTGCCAACAACAGCACAGTCACTAACGAGAATAGTTGCTCTCTCTGTGTCCCATCACCCCCCTTCCCAGGTTTGTGTTCGGAGTGACAGCCCTACTGCCGCTCATCACCACGGCAGTCGGATTCTACATTCCAGAAGACAGGGTCACTGCCAACAAGAGCACAGTCACTAACGATTCGGATTCCACAGGTGGCAAGGGGGCAGCAGCAGCAGCAGAAGGGGCAGGAGGACGGGTAGTGAGAGGTGGAGGAGCAGCAGCAGAAGGGGTGTTGATAAGAGGAGAAGCAGGGGAAGTGACAGCAGGGGGTGCAGGAGCATTGGCAGTAGGAGGGCCGAGCGGGTCATGGGCGTGGGCGTGGGGTCAGCTGGTGTTTCTGTGGGAGACAGTGCGGCAGCCCGCCATTCTGCTGCCCACCACCTTCATCTTCCTCTGGCAGGCCACCCCTCACTCCGAGACAGCAATGTTCTACTTCACGTGAGTCAATGGGGGTCAACGGGGGTCAACAGGGGTCCACAGGGATCCACAGGGGTCAACGGAGGTCAACAGGGCATGGAGCCTTTTTTACCTTCCTTTGGCAGGTCACGCCGCACTCCAAGACAGCCACGTTTTACTTCACGTGAGTCCCTGGTGTGAATCAAGGGGGGTCAACGGTGGTCAATGGGGGTCAACGGGGCATGGGTGTGGGCGTGGGCGTGGGGTCAGCTGGAATTCCTGTGGCAGACGATCAGAGAGCCAAGGGCCATTCTGCTGCTCATGGCGTTCGTCTTCCTCTGGTAGGCCACGCCGCACTCCGAGACAGCCACGTTCTACTTCACATGAGCCACCACCAACGAGCTTGGGTTTTGCCCTGAGTTCCTGGGCCGCTTCCACCTCGTGACAGCCCTCGCCGCCCTGGCTGGTGCTTTGAGGCGCCTCAAGCCCATATCCTAAATCCTAATCCCCGGCCCCCCCTCCCCCCCCCCCCCCCCCGCCCCACCCAACCCACCCCGCCTCCCCGCCCACTCGAAACATATTCCCTCGTGTTGTCAGCACCAACAAGCTTGGCTTCGGCCCTGAGTTTCTGGGCCACGTCCGCCTCGTGACAGCCCTCGCCTCCCTGGCTGGTGTTTGGAGCACCCAAGTCCTCCCTGATAGCCCATACTCTTCCCCACGCCCCCTCCCTCCTCCTCACCACCAACGAGCTCGGCTTTAGCCCTGAGTTCCCGGGCTGCATTTGGCTCATGACAGCCCTCGCCTCCTGGGCTGGTGGATTTAAGGCTCCCCAAACCTTAGTTGCTACAAACGCGTTTGGCGGTTAAACGCAAGCGTTTGAACGCTAAACACTCGGCAGTGTGTATGTGAACGCTAGGCAAACGCTTGCCCGGGCAGGGGTGAAAATTTTACCCAGGCAGGGGTTAAAAAATCCTGTGGGGGAGGGGGGAAACATGGGGGTTCTACCCGCAAGCATTTTGTCTCATAAAAAAGAACCGTGCTTAACATTTAAGCCAGCATCCTCATATGTCATGTCAATCACCTATCCTCCGTGTGTAATGAGTCGATTTTTGAGTCGACTCAAAAATCGACTCATTAGAACCGTGCTTAACATTTAAGCCAGCATCCTTATATGTCATGTAAATCACCTATCCTCCGTGTGTAATGAGTCGATTTTTGAGTCGATTAAAAAATCGACTCATTAGAACCGTGCTTAACATTTAAGCCAGCATCCTCATATGTCATGTAAATCACCTATCCTTAAGGCCATTCTCCAAACCACAATCTCGTGTTTTTTGGGAGGGGGGGCAGCCTGAAAAAATCCCAGTGAGCGTTTGCGTTTTTGGGTGCGTTTGGCGTTTCTCGTCTGCCAGAGCGTTTGTAGCAACTAAGCCCCAAACCGCTCCAAAACCCATCTTCTAAACCTCCCAACCCAACCCCACCCACTCCCCCTCTCTCACCCCACCGCCCCTCCCTCCCCTCCAGCACCAACGAGCTTGGGTTTGGCCCTGAGTTTCTAGGCCGTGTCCGCCTCGTGACAGCCCTCGCATCCCTGGCTGGTGTTGGTCTGTTCAACTTCTATCTCAAGGAAGTGCCTCTGAGGAAGCTGTTCCTGTGGACCAACGTCGTGGGGGCCATCCTTGGCTCCACACAGGTAAGACAGAGAAGGATTCTCCAAGGTGCATCTCAGATAGCCCTTGCGTCTCTGGCGGGAGTGGGTGTGTTCAACTTTTATCTCAAGAAAGTGCCTCTGAGGAAGCTGTTCCTGTGGACCAACGTCGTTGGGGCCATTCTCGGCTCCACACAGGTACGTCCTTCCAGGAAGTCGCTTTGGGCTGCGGATAAAGAGACGACTTTTGAGGCGCCTCAAAAGCCTTCCAGGAAATCCCTTTGGGCTGTTTGATGCGAATGCCTCTAGCCGCCCTCGCCTCCCTGGCGGGGGTGGGTGGGTCTGCCCAACTTCTATTTCGAGGAGGTGCCTCTCAGGAAGCTGCTCCTGTGGACCAACGTCGCTGCGGAAGCCCAGCCACCATCTCCATTTCCTCATTATTTTCCAAGCTCTCATTTTCAATCCCGAATCCCAGCATGGAGCCAACTCGCCCCGACCCTCCTATCTTCAGGACCTCCGGGCCTCCTGACCCCCGAGACCTGAAGCCAGGCCATCCCCTATACAATCCAGAGCCCTTTCCGACCTGGGGATCACCACTCCCCATCATCCCACCAAGATTCGAGGATTCACCCGAGGACATCCGACACGACTTCAACGCCCTCCAGTTGAAGGATTCGCCACCAATCGACCCTCCTGAGCTCAACCTCGAATCCACCATCAAGACCAATCCGCCCCCAATAATGGAGGTATCTGAGGCACGAGGAGACTACATCGACCTTCCCCATGATCACAAATTCGAGCCAGGAGAAGTCCTGCTCGATACCAACGGGCGACTGGCACGAGGCTACCGAAAATGGGTCCGAGGGATGTATGACAGCTGGTCATACATAACCATCGATCTCGTCCACGACCCATTCGACGGGAGTGCGAATGCTTAAGCGCGGGGAGTTACAACTGTAACGCGGATGTACCAGCCGCGACGGTTCGGCTTTCCCCGGAGGTTACTTGCGGTTTGCAACCGCTGGCAAGATGACGAGGAGAGGAATCGACAAGAAACATCGGGCGCATACAGGCTGGCTGTATGCGAGATCAACCGTTTGAGTTCGGGTGATTGAAGTTTGCGGACGGTTTTATAACCGTACGCAACCGACCGGCAGCTCGGATGACTGACGGTTTTATGCGGTTGACAAGCCGCGTAGCGATCCGAGTCCAAAATAAGGAGTTACCTTCTCATGGACCGTCAACTAGCTTGTATCGTCAACTTCATTATCTAGCATCGATCTCTTGTATCATCCATTGATATACAAAGGTTCTTGAGTCACTCCCTTGCAACCAACAGTCCAACACTTGGCATCCCTCAGACGGGCGGTGAGGCCTGTTCCCAACTGACCCCTGGCAGTGAGTGGTCAGTGTGGGATCCCCTGGGCTCAATAGGCCTGAGACCGAGGCGTGTATCCGGTTGGCGAAGCCGGTTGGGAGCTCGAGGCGTTTGGTCAAGATCCCCTTTGTGTACGGGAAGGATATAGGAACGAGTCGATCGAGGGCCGACATTGACAGAGAGACAAGCGGAGGAAGTGCAAGGAATACAGAAAAAATATCTATTTCGGGTTACAACTGTAACGCGGATGTACCAGCCGCGACGGTTCGGCTTTCCCCGGAGGTTACTTGCGGTTTGCAACCGCTGGCAAGATGACGAGGAGAGGAATCGACAAGAAACATCAGGCGCATACAGGCTGGCTGTATGCGAGATTAACCGTTTGAGTTCGGGTGATTGAAGGTTGCGGACAGTTTTATAACCGTACGCAACCGACCGGCAGCTCGGATGATTGACGGTTTTATGCGGTTGCCAAGCCGCGTAGCGATCCGAGTCCAAAATAAGGAGTTACCGTCTCATGGACCGGAGTATAAATATAGAGATCCTAGCTTGTATCGTCAACTTCATTATCTAGCATCGATCTCTTGTATCATCCATTGATATACAAAGGTTCTTGAGTCACTCCCTTGCAACCAACGGTCCAACACTTGGCATCCCTCAGACGGGCGGTGAGGCCTGTTCCCAACCGACCCCTGGCAGTGAGTGGTCAGTGTGGGATCCCCTGGGCTCAATAGGCCTGAGACCGAAGCGTGTATCCGGTTGGCGAAGCCGGTTGGGAGCTCGAGGCGTTTGGTCAAGATCCCCTTTGTGTACGGGAATGATATAGGAACGAGTCGATCGAGGGCCGACATTGACAGAGAGACAAGCGGAGGAAGTGCAAGGAATACAGAAAAAATATCTATTTCGGGTTACAAATGTAACGCGGATGTACCAGCCGCGACGGTTCGGCTTTCCCCGGAGGTTACTTGCGGTTTGCAACCGCTGGCAAGATGACGAGGAGAGGAATCGACAAGAAACATCAGGCGCATACAGGCTGGCTGTATGCGAGATTAACCGTTTGAGTTCGGGTGATTGAAGGTTGCGGACAGTTTTATAACCGTACGCAACCGACCGGCAGCTCGGATGATTGACGGTTTTATGCGGTTGCCAAGCCGCGTAGCGATCCGAGTCCAAAATAAGGAGTTACCGTCTCATGGACCGGAGTATAAATATAGAGATCCTAGCTTGTATCGTCAACTTCATTATCTAGCATCGATCTCTTGTATCATCCATTGATATACAAAGGTTCTTGAGTCACTCCCTTGCAACCAACGGTCCAACACTTGGCATCCCTCAGACGGGCGGTGAGGCCTGTTCCCAACTGACCCCTGGCAGTGAGTGGTCAGTGTGGGATCCCCTGGGCTCAATAGGCCTGAGACCGAAGCGTGTATCCGGTTGGCGAAGCCGGTTGGGAGCTCGAGGCGTTTGGTCAAGATCCCCTTTGTGTACGGGAATGATATAGGAACGAGTCGATCGAGGGCCGACATTGACAGAGAGACAAGCGGAGGAAGTGCAAGGAATACAGAAAAAATATCTATTTCGGGTTACAAATGTAACGCGGATGTACCAGCCGCGACGGTTCGGCTTTCCCCGGAGGTTACTTGCGGTTTGCAACCGCTGGCAAGATGACGAGGAGAGGAATCGACAAGAAACATCAGGCGCATACAGGCTGGCTGTATGCGAGATTAACCGTTTGAGTTCGGGTGATTGAAGGTTGCGGACAGTTTTATAACCGTACGCAACCGACCGGCAGCTCGGATGACTGACGGTTTTATGCGGTTGCCAAGCCGCGTAGCGATCCGAGTCCAAAATAAGGAGTTACCGTCTCATGGACCGGAGTATAAATATAGAGATCCTAGCTTGTATCGTCAACTTCATTATCTAGCATCGATCTCTTGTATCATCCATTGATATACAAAGGTTCTTGAGTCACTCCCTTGCAACCAACGGTCCAACACTTGGCATCCCTCAGACGGGCGGTGAGGCCTGTTCCCAACCGACCCCTGGCAGTGAGTGGTCAGTGTGGGATCCCCTGGGCTCAATAGGCCTGAGACCGAAGCGTGTATCCGGTTGGCGAAGCCGGTTGGGAGCTCGAGGCGTTTGGTCAAGATCCCCTTTGTGTACGGGAATGATATAGGAACGAGTCGATCGAGGGCCGACATTGACAGAGAGACAAGCGGAGGAAGTGCAAGGAATACAGAAAAAATATCTATTTCGGGTTACAAATGTAACGCGGATGTACCAGCCGCGACGGTTCGGCTTTCCCCGGAGGTTACTTGCGGTTTGCAACCGCTGGCAAGATGACGAGGAGAGGAATCGACAAGAAACATCAGGCGCATACAGGCTGGCTGTATGCGAGATTAACCGTTTGAGTTCGGGTGATTGAAGGTTGCGGACAGTTTTATAACCGTACGCAACCGACCGGCAGCTCGGATGACTGACGGTTTTATGCGGTTGCCAAGCCGCGTAGCGATCTGAGTCCAAAATAAGGAGTTACCGTCTCATGGACCGGAGTATAAATATAGAGATCCTAGCTTGTATCGTCAACTTCATTATCTAGCATCGATCTCTTGTATCATCCATTGATATACAAAGGTTCTTGAGTCACTCCCTTGCAACCAACGGTCCAACACTTGGCATCCCTCAGACGGGCGGTGAGGCCTGTTCCCAACCGACCCCTGGCAGTGAGTGGTCAGTGTGGGATCCCCTGGGCTCAATAGGCCTGAGACCGAGGCGTGTATCCGGTTGGCGAAGCCGGTTGGGAGCTCGAGGCGTTTGGTCAAGATCCCCTTTGTGTACGGGAATGATATAGGAACGAGTCGATCGAGGGCCGACATTGACAGAGAGACAAGCGGAGGAAGTGCAAGGAATACAGAAAAAATATCTATTTCGGGTTACAAATGTAACGCGGATGTACCAGCCGCGACGGTTCGGCTTTCCCCGGAGGTTACTTGCGGTTTGCAACCGCTGGCAAGATGACGAGGAGAGGAATCGACAAGAAACATCAGGCGCATACAGGCTGGCTGTATGCGAGATTAACCGTTTGAGTTCGGGTGATTGAAGGTTGCGGACAGTTTTATAACCGTACGCAACCGACCGGCAGCTCGGATGACTGACGGTTTTATGCGGTTGCCAAGCCGCGTAGCGATCCGAGTCCAAAATAAGGAGTTACCGTCTCATGGACCGGAGTATAAATATAGAGATCCTAGCTTGTATCGTCAACTTCATTATCTAGCATCGATCTCTTGTATCATCCATTGATATACAAAGGTTCTTGAGTCACTCCCTTGCAACCAACGGTCCAACACTTGGCATCCCTCAGACGGGCGGTGAGGCCTGTTCCCAACCGACCCCTGGCAGTGAGTGGTCAGTGTGGGATCCCCTGGGCTCAATAGGCCTGAGACCGAAGCGTGTATCCGGTTGGCGAAGCCGGTTGGGAGCTCGAGGCGTTTGGTCAAGATCCCCTTTGTGTACGGGAATGATATAGGAACGAGTCGATCGAGGGCCGACATTGACAGAGAGACAAGCGGAGGAAGTGCAAGGAATACAGAAAAAATATCTATTTCGGGTTACAAATGTAACGCGGATGTACCAGCCGCGACGGTTCGGCTTTCCCCGGAGGTTACTTGCGGTTTGCAACCGCTGGCAAGATGACGAGGAGAGGAATCGACAAGAAACATCAGGCGCATACAGGCTGGCTGTATGCGAGATTAACCGTTTGAGTTCGGGTGATTGAAGGTTGCGGACAGTTTTATAACCGTACGCAACCGACCGGCAGCTCGGATGACTGACGGTTTTATGCGGTTGCCAAGCCGCGTAGCGATCCGAGTCCAAAATAAGGAGTTACCGTCTCATGGACCGGAGTATAAATATAGAGATCCTAGCTTGTATCGTCAACTTCATTATCTAGCATCGATCTCTTGTATCATCCATTGATATACAAAGGTTCTTGAGTCACTCCCTTGCAACCAACGGTCCAACACTTGGCATCCCTCAGACGGGCGGTGAGGCCTGTTCCCAACCGACCCCTGGCAGTGAGTGGTCAGTGTGGGATCCCCTGGGCTCAATAGGCCTGAGACCGAAGCGTGTATCCGGTTGGCGAAGCCGGTTGGGAGCTCGAGGCGTTTGGTCAAGATCCCCTTTGTGTACGGGAAGGATATAGGAACGAGTCGATCGAGGGCCGACATTGACAGAGAGACAAGCGGAGGAAGTGCAAGAAATACAGAAAAATTATCTATTTCGGTGGTATCAGAGCCCGTCTTCTCCCTTCTGGCGAGAAGAACGATCCGATCATGGCCAACGCTTCCAAGATTGAGATGTACATGGAGGCTCAGGCGTACCTCACTCGAATTCAATGACGCTTGCGTGTTGACTATGATGACAACACGACGTCGTCGTTGAGCAATGTCGAGTTTTGCTCCGGTTTTGCTCAAGTCGTGACGACGATCGAGCGCAAAGTCGATATCATCCTCAACAATTTGAACGGCAACGTCCTCATGTGGGCCGAGGCCCAGAATTTCAAGACGGTTGAGGAGTTTGTAGCAGCATTCAAGGCTCGCTGGATGGCGACGTCCAGCGCCGAGCTCATCACTGCTCTCCACTGCATCAAGCAAAAGCCGGGCTAGACAGCTTTGGAGCTCTTGGATACGTTCAAGTGCGTCACCAAAGATCTCGTTGGGTATCCGACTGAATCCATCCTGCAACTTTACATCAACGCCCTCAATGATACCATATTGCGCGAGCGGATTCTATCCCGATGCCCGAAGGAGCTGAATGACATAGAGGCGGCAATCCTCTATTATACGGCATATGGAGGGACTACCCAGGACAACAAAAAGGTTATGTTCAAGGAGGATACGAAGGCTGGAGCGGACCTTCTGGCGGAAGAGATGAAGAAGCTGCGTATTCATCTCATGACCCAACCCAGTCGACCGCCCGAAGCCAGGACGTATGAGAGGAAGACTGGACCGGTCACTTGTCATATTTGTAAGGCGCGTGGGCATTTTGCCCGCGAATGTCCCAACAAGAGGATGGCCCGTCAGAGCAATATGATGCAGACGGTGGCGGAGAAATCCCCTATCGCTGCCTTTCTCGAGGCTGACGAAGCCTCCTTCGCTTTGACCGGGATCAAGCGCACCCGTCAAAACCCAGTTCGAGACCCCCAAGGGTGGACCGTAGACGAAGCACAGGAGGAGATTCGTCGTCGAGCTGAAGCGGAGTCCGCTCCAAATCGACGATTCGTCTCGCGCACCAGCGTCAGCACCAACAAATATCTCCCAATCGAGCAGCTCAAGCGGACCAAGGTTGATATTAGCCTGTGGAATTACCTCAGCGATTGCACCCGTGCGAGGAAGGAACTCATCGAGGTCCTGCAGACGCTGCCGGACGATGGAGCAGCTGCCGCCGCCCCAGGACCATCGACGAGTGCTCCCATGGCGACTAACGCCATGCTCCAACCCTCTTTCGCAATTCAAAAGGAGACCGTCAAGCCCGCCATAGCATCCTATTCAGTCGTCCAGTGCCCTGTCCAGATCGGCCGACACAATGTAATGGCGATCGTCGATTCAGGCGCATCAACGACCACCTTATCCCACGTCGTAGTCCGCCGCCTCGGACTACTCGAGTACCTCGAAAAATGCAACATCGAATTCATGACTTCGAGTGGAGACAAGTCGAAGCCGTGGGGTATCCTGAGGAACGTACCCATCCGCGTTGGGTCGCTCACCCTTCCCGTCGACGTCCCAGTCACTGGAGCGATTAGCTACGACATGCTCCTTGGAAACGATTGGCTGGTACCCGCTGGTGCTTCGATCAATTTCGGTGAGAAGACCCTGACATATCAACTCAACCCGACGGAAGTGGAGTCTATTCCGATCCTCTGCGGAAAGACAAACGACGGCCACCCGCAATACATGGCAATGGAGCATCTGAAGCACCTGGACGACAGCACGGATTCCGAGTCGGAGTCCGGTGCCTCCGAGCTTGCGTGGGGGGAAGATTACTCTGAAATTGATTATTCTGATTACCCCGAAGCTGCGGACGAAATGCCCGATCAGGAGGAGAGCGACACAATCCTGCTCGACAGCTATTCCACGCTCAAGACTCAAGGACCGGCGGATGACCTTGAGACTGTCCACCCCAACATTCCAGCACCAGTCGGACCGGAGCTGAATGAGGAGCAGAAGAAGCAACTCAGCGAGATGCTCACCGAATTTCTGCCAATTTTCGCGACCAAGAGTGATCAAATCGGACTTTACCCCCATCTGCAACTCCACATCGAGACCGGCACCAAAAATCCGATCGCTCACAAGCCATACCGTGCGGCCCCGGCTGAAAAGGAGCTAATTGAAAAAGAGGTCAAAACTCTTCTGGATCAAGGCGTGATCCGTCCGTCCCACAGCCCATGGGCTGCCCCATGCCTCGTTATACCAAAAAAAGACTTCGGCATTCGAGTCGTCATCGACTACAGGAGGCTGAACGCCATCACCAAGAGCGCAGATCGTTTTCCCCTCCCGAGGATCGACGAGATCCTGGACCAGCTTCGAGGGGCGCAGTATTTCACCATCCTGGATATCAAATCGGCCTACTACAACATTGCAGTCGCCGAGCAGGATATCCCAAAGACCGCGTTCGTCACTCCAACGGGCCTGTACGAGTTCACTCGTATGCCATTCGGATTGAAAAACGCGCCTGCTACCTGGCAGCGTTTCATCATGGGAGTCTTTCGAGATCTCCCGTTCATCATCTGCTATCTGGACGATGCGGCCATTTGGTCTACCACATGGGAGGAGCACCTTGGGCACATCAAGCTCGCAATGCGGAGGGTCAAAGAGCATTCCCTGCTCCTCAAGATCAACAAATGCAATTTCGGGTTCAACAAGATGCCGTACCTGGGCCATATCATCAGTCGTGATGGAGTGGCCCCCGACCCAGAGAAGATCAAGGCGGTTAAAGAATGGCCGACACCAGAGAATGTGAAGCAGATTCGAGGGTTCCTCGGCCTGGCTTCATATTACCGTCGCTTCATCCGGGGTTTCGCCAAGATAGCAACCCCGATGAACCAGCTCCTCAAAAATGAGACCCCATTCGAGTGGACCGACGACTGCGAGGAGGCATTTCAGAAGCTTAAGACCGCCCTCACCAGCTCGCCGATCCTCGTCTACCCTGATTTCACCAAGCCATTTCTCCTCCAGACGGATTTCTCTGCTCAAGCCGTGGGCGCCGAACCGTCGCGGCTGGTACATCCGCGTTACAGTTGTAACCCGAAATAGATAATTTTTCTGTATTTCTTGCACTTCCTCCGCTTGTCTCTCTGTCAATGTCGGCCCTCGATCGACTCGTTCCTATATCCTTCCCGTACACAAAGGGGATCTTGACCAAACGCCTCGAGCTCCCAACCGGCTTCGCCAACCGGATACACGCCTCGGTCTCAGGCCTATTGAGCCCAGGGGATCCCACACTGACCACTCACTGCCAGGGGTCAGTTGGGAACAGGCCTCACCGCCCGTCTGAGGGATGCCAAGTGTTGGACCGTTGGTTGCAAGGGAGTGACTCAAGAACCTTTGTATATCAATGGATGATACAAGAGATCGATGCTAGATAATGAAGTTGACGATACAAGCTAGGATCTCTATATTTATACTCCGGTCCATGAGACGGTAACTCCTTATTTTGGACTCGGATCGCTACGCGGCTTGGCAACCGCATAAAACCGTCAGTCATCCGAGCTGCCGGTCGGTTGCGTACGGTTATAAAACTGTCCGCAACCTTCAATCACCCGAACTCAAACGGTTAATCTCGCATACAGCCAGCCTGTATGCGCCTGATGTTTCTTGTCGATTCCTCTCCTCGTCATCTTGCCAGCGGTTGCAAACCGCAAGTAACCTCCGGGGAAAGCCGAACCGTCGCGGCTGGTACATCCGCGTTACAGTTGTAACCCGAAATAGATATTTTTTCTGTATTCCTTGCACTTCCTCCGCTTGTCTCTCTGTCAATGTCGGCCCTCGATCGACTCGTTCCTATATCCTTCCCGTACACAAAGGGGATCTTGACCAAACGCCTCGAGCTCCCAACCGGCTTCGCCAACCGGATACACGCCTCGGTCTCAGGCCTATTGAGCCCAGGGGATCCCACACTGACCACTCACTGCCAGGGGTCGGTTGGGAACAGGCCTCACCGCCCGTCTGAGGGATGCCAAGTGTTGGACCGTTGGTTGCAAGGGAGTGACTCAAGAACCTTTGTATATCAATGGATGATACAAGAGATCGATGCTAGATAATGAAGTTGACGATACAAGCTAGGATCTCTATATTTATACTCCGGTCCATGAGACGGTAACTCCTTATTTTGGACTCGGATCGCTACGCGGCTTGGCAACCGCATAAAACCGTCAGTCATCCGAGCTGCCGGTCGGTTGCGTACGGTTATAAAACTGTCCGCAACCTTCAATCACCCGAACTCAAACGGTTAATCTCGCATACAGCCAGCCTGTATGCGCCTGATGTTTCTTGTCGATTCCTCTCCTCGTCATCTTGCCAGCGGTTGCAAACCGCAAGTAACCTCCGGGGAAAGCCGAACCGTCGCGGCTGGTACATCCGCGTTACAGTTGTAACCCGAAATAGATATTTTTTCTGTATTCCTTGCACTTCCTCCGCTTGTCTCTCTGTCAATGTCGGCCCTCGATCGACTCGTCCTATATCCTTCCCGTACACAAAGGGGATCTTGACCAAACGCCTCGAGCTCCCAACCGGCTTCGCCAACCGGATACACGCCTCGGTCTCAGGCCTATTGAGCCCAGGGGATCCCACACTGACCACTCACTGCCAGGGGTCGGTTGGAACAGGCCTCACCGCCCGTCTGAGGGATGCCAAGTGTTGGACCGTTGGTTGCAAGGGAGTGACTCAAGAACCTTTGTATATCAATGGATGATACAAGAGATCGATGCTAGATAATGAAGTTGACGATACAAGCTAGGATCTCTATATTTATACTCCGGTCCATGAGACGGTAACTCCTTATTTTGGACTCGGATCGCTACGCGGCTTGGCAACCGCATAAAACCGTCAGTCATCCGAGCTGCCGGTCGGTTGCGTACGGTTATAAAACTGTCCGCAACCTTCAATCACCCGAACTCAAACGGTTAATCTCGCATACAGCCAGCCTGTATGCGCCTGATGTTTCTTGTCGATTCCTCTCCTCGTCATCTTGCCAGCGGTTGCAAACCGCAAGTAACCTCCGGGGAAAGCCGAACCGTCGCGGCTGGTACATCCGCGTTACAGTTGTAACCCGAAAAAGATATTTTTTCTGTATTCCTTGCACTTCCTCCGCTTGTCTCTCTGTCAATGTCGGCCCTCGATCGACTCGTTCCTATATCCTTCCCGTACACAAAGGGGATCTTGACCAAACGCCTCGAGCTCCCAACCGGCTTCGCCAACCGGATACACGCCTCGGTCTCAGGCCTATTGAGCCCAGGGGATCCCACACTGACCACTCACTGCCAGGGGTCAGTTGGGAACAGGCCTCACCGCCCGTCTGAGGGATGCCAAGTGTTGGACCGTTGGTTGCAAGGGAGTGACTCAAGAACCTTTGTATATCAATGGATGATACAAGAGATCGATGCTAGATAATGAAGTTGACGATACAAGCTAGGATCTCTATATTTTATACTCCGGTCCATGAGACGGTAACTCCTTATTTTGGACTCGGATCGCTACGCGGCTTGGCAACCGCATAAAACCGTCAGTCATCCGAGCTGCCGGTCGGTTGCGTACGGTTATAAAACTGTCCGCAACCTTCAATCACCCGAACTCAAACCGTTAATCTCGCATACAGCCAGCCTGTATGCGCCTGATGTTTCTTGTCGATTCCTCTCCTCGTCATCTTGCCAGCGGTTGCAAACCGCAAGTAACCTCCGGGGAAAGCCGAACCGTCGCGGCTGGTACATCCGCGTTACAGTTGTAACCCGAAATAGATATTTTTTCTGTATTCCTTGCACTTCCTCCGCTTGTCTCTCTGTCAATGTCGGCCCTCGATCGACTCGTTCCTATATCCTTCCCGTACACAAAGGGGATCTTGACCAAACGCCTCGAGCTCCCAACCGGCTTCGCCAACCGGATACACGCCTCGGTCTCAGGCCTATTGAGCCCAGGGGATCCCACACTGACCACTCACTGCCAGGGGTCAGTTGGGAACAGGCCTCACCGCCCGTCTGAGGGATGCCAAGTGTTGGACCGTTGGTTGCAAGGGAGTGACTCAAGAACCTTTGTATATCAATGGATGATACAAGAGATCGATGCTAGATAATGAAGTTGACGATACAAGCTAGGATCTCTATATTTATACTCCGGTCCATGAGACGGTAACTCCTTATTTTGGACTCGGATCGCTACGCGGCTTGGCAACCGCATAAAACCGTCAGTCATCCGAGCTGCCGGTCGGTTGCGTACGGTTATAAAACTGTCCGCAACCTTCAATCACCCGAACTCAAACCGTTAATCTCGCATACAGCCAGCCTGTATGCGCCTGATGTTTCTTGTCGATTCCTCTCCTCGTCATCTTGCCAGCGGTTGCAAACCGCAAGTAACCTCCGGGGAAAGCCGAACCGTCGCGGCTGGTACATCCGCGTTACAGTTGTTTGTTCCCCCCCCCCCCCCCCTACTTTCTCCCCTCCGTCTCCCCCTGCCATGCTTGCCGTGTGCTGATTCATGCTTCGTGCTTATTGTTTTCTTCCTTCTCTGCATGCTTCTTCGCCCACCTATCCCCCTTTGACCCACCTACCCCCTTTGACCTGACGTGCCTGCCACCTTCTTCCCACACGTGCCGCCTATCCCTTGTCTTAACATCAGCTACTCCTTGTCACCGGTCTTAACCGCACTCTGGGCATCAGCGACCAGTACTTTTTGCTGGGAGATTCTCTCATCCTCACGGTGCTCGGGCAGGTGAGAACTGGGCAGGTGAGAACCGGGGCAGGTGAGAACCGGTTCAGGTGAGACTTGCGAGGGCATCTGAGGACAAATGCAGGTGTGATGCTTGAGGATTTCTCTGGTACTCTGGGAGTCAGCGACCAGAATCCCGGACAGGTGATAACGGAGGCACGTGAGACCTGGGGGCAGGTGTGACCTGAGGCAGGGTGGGATCTGAGGCAGGTGGGAACCATGGTTTTGCAGGAGCTGGGGTATAGGGGAACAGGATTAAGTGGAATCTGGGAAACACGGGAGAGTGGGGCAGGTGGGCACTGATGGGGGCAGGTGGGCACTGATGGGGCCAGGTGGGCACTGATGGGGGCAGGTGGGCACTGATGGGGTCAGGTGGGCACTGATGGGGTCAGGTGGGCACTGATGAGGGCAGGTGGGCACTGATGGGGGCAGGTGGACACTGATGGGGGCAGGCGGGCACTGATGGGGGCAGGTGGGCACTGATGGGGGCAGGTGGGCACTGATGGGGCAGGTGGGCACTGATGGGGGCAGGCGGGCACTGATGGGGCAGGTGGGCACTGATGGGGGCAGGTGGGCACTGATGGGGGCAGGTGGGCACTGATGGGGCAGGTGGGCACTGATGGGGGCAGGTGGGCACGTAGGGGGGCCAGGTCGAAATTACCTGTTTGTCAGCAACGGTGCTGGTGCCTTTAGGGGGTCATGGGGGCACAGAGCCCCGAGCCCCGAGCACACATTCTTCACCTCCCATGACACATGACACATGACACATGACACATGACACATGTGCTTCGGTACCTGCTTTATCTAACTCTCACACCTTCCCCTTCCCTTCCATCTTTCGTCTTTCGAACCCCTCGCTACGCTCCCCTCCCCCCAGATGTCCTTCATGCCGGTGCTAGTGCTGGCAGCCAGAGTCTGCCCCCCGGCATCGAGGCAACCCTCTTCGCCACGCTTATGACTGTCAGCAACGGGGCCAGTGTCTTTGGGGGGGTCATGGGCACTGGTCTCACCAGCTGGCTTGGCGTCACCACCAGCAAAAAGAACAAATTCCCTGCTCCCTTACTCCTCTCCCCACACCCCCACACCCCCACACCCGCCCCACCCCCTCCCCTCCCCCGCCCAGCAGATTTCCTTCATGCCTGTGCTGGTGCTGGCGGCCAGAGTCTGACCCCCGGCATCGAGGCAACTTTATTCGCAACGCTCATGTCTGTTAGCAACAGAGCCAGTGTCTTCGGGGGGTCATGGGCACTGGTCTCACCAGCTGCCTTGGCGTCACCACCAGCACAAACCACAAATTCCCTACTCCCTCACTCCTCTCCCCTCTCTCCCCCGTCTCCCTTTCCCCTCCCTCTTCAGATTTCCATCATGCCAGTGCTAGTGCTGGCAGCTCGAGTCTGCCCCCCTGGTATCGAGGCAACCCTCTTTGCCTCTCTCATGTCTGTGAGCAACGGGGCCAATGTCTTTGGGGTGGTCATGGGCTCCGGTCTCACCATCTGGCGTGGCATCACCACCAGCACAAACCACAAAAGACCTGCTCCCCTACTCCTCTCCCCACACCCCACACCCCCAACCACCCCCCCTCCCCACCCGGCAGACTTCCTTCATGCCAGTGCTGGTGCTGGCCGCTCGGGTCATGGGCGCTGGTCTCACCAACTGGCTTGGCGTCACCACCAGCACCAAGCACAAATTCCCGGCTCGCCTACTCCTCTCCCCTCTCTTCCATCTCCATCTCCCTTTCCCCCTGGCAGATCTCCTTCATGCCAGTGCTGGTGCTGGCGGCCAGAGTCTGCCCCCCGGCATCGAGGCAACTTTATTCGCAACGCTCATGTCTGTTAGCAACGGAGCCAGTGTCTTTGGTGGGTCATGGGCGCTGGTCTCACCAACTGGCTTGGCGTCACGAGCACCAATTTCGCCAATCTGCCCACGCTCGTTGCCATCTGTAACTTCTCCTCGTTGCTCGTGCTGCCGTTTCTGAACCTGCTCCCCGCTGCTGTCAGCGCAAACTCAGACTCCGAAGACGAGTAGCGTTTGTACAGTATGATATTTGATGTACAGTGATGTCTAAGTGTTCGTGTAACCTATGAGCAAATATAATTCTGATGCCAACACAGTGCGATAAAAAGTTAGTTCGAATCACCATTTTCCTAGGAGGACACGCCCTGAGTCAACTCAGAAGTCTTCCAAGCACAGAATCATCATTACCGGATCATCCTGATGCCGGCACTGTACTTCAGCCTAGGATTGCTGAGATGCACACAGCAACTTGACGCATTAGCATAGAACGTGGTAGTAGGATCTTTTTGCAAGTTGTGATCGTTACTATTTTGAAACGACTATGCATGGCAAGATCGCATTTCAGCCAGTCAGGACTCAGGAAAAGGGTTGCCCCACCCTCCCACCGACACACCAGGTACAGTAATCCCATGAAACACACCATTTCTAAACAGTACACCATGCCTTAGCAACGCTGCTCCGCGAGTCGCCTCGACCCGACCCTTCTAAGCACACTCCTTCAAGCTGACAGCAGAAAACCTTGAAGTCTCTTCTCTTGCTTTGAGGCGCATCAGAACTAGAAAACCTTGAAGTCTCTTCTCTTGCTTTGAGGCGCATCAGAACTAGAAAACCTTGAAGTCTCTTCTCTTGCTTTGAGGCGCATAAGAACTAGAAAACCTTGAAGTCTCTTCTCTTGCTTTGAGGCGCATCAGAACTGTCAACTTATACATATTAGCTATGTAGAAGTTATAGGCTAGACTGGGGTATGCTTCTAGTGAGTACAACCAACTAGTATTTGTTCTAGGTTTCTCCTTCTAGTTCATCCATTCAGTTCTTACTTTAACATGGTATCACGCGTAGGTTAGAATCCCCCACCTACCGCTTCCGCCCGTACCATAGCTAGGCCCCGCCGCACCCCCCTGGGCCCCGTCGCGCCTCCTAGCCCCGTCGCGCCCTCCTGGGCCCCGTCGTGCCTCCTAGGCCCCGTCGCGCCCTGCCTGGCCCGTCGCGCCACCTGGCCCCGGCGTGCCCCTCCTGGGCCCCGTCGCGCCTCCTAGCGCCGTCGCGCCTCCTAGCCCCGTCGCGCCCCTCTAGGCCCCGCCGCGCCTCCTAGCCCCGTCGCGCCCCTCCTGGGCCCCGTCGTGCCTCCTAGGCCCCGTCGCGCCCGCTAGGCCCCGTCGCGCCCTGCCTGGCCCCGTCGCGCCCGCCTGGCCCGTCGTCGCCCCTCCTGGGCCCCGTCGCGCCTCCTAGCCTCGTTGCGCCCCTCCTGAGCCCCGTCGCCCTTCCTAGCCCCGTCGCGCCTCCTAGCCCCGTCGCGCCCCTCCTGGACCCCGTCGCGCCCCTCCTGGGCCCCGTCGTGCCTCCTAGCCCCGTTGCCCCTCCTGGGCCCCGCCGCGCCTCCTAGCCCCGTCGCGCCTCTCCTGGGCCCCGTCGTGCCTCCTAGGCCTCGTCGCGCCCGCTCCGGCCCTGACGCGCCGCTGGCCTCGTCGCGCCCGCTAGACCCATCGCGCCCTGCCTGGCCCCGTCGCGCCCGCCTGGCCCCGTCGCGGCCTGCCTGGCCCCGTCGCGCCTGCCTGGCCCCTCCGCGCCTGCATGGCCCTGCGCTCCTGCATGGCCCGCCGCGCTTGTCTGGCCCCGCGCACCTCCCTGGCCCCGTCCCGCCCGCCTGGCCCGTCGCGGCCTGCTTGGCCCCGCCGCGCCTGCCTGGCCCCGCCGCGCCTCCCTGGCCCTGCCGCGCCTGCCTGGCCCTCCGCGCCTGCCTAGCCTTGCCGCGCCTGCCTGGCCCCGCGCCTGCCTGGCCCCGCCGCCCCCCTGGCCCGCCGCGCCTGCCTGGCCCCGCCGCGCCTGCCTGGCCCCACCGCGCCTGCCTGGCCCCGCCGCGCCTGCCTGGCCCTCTGCGCCTGCCTGGCCCCGCCGCGCCTGCCTGGCCCTGCCGAGCCGCGCGGCCTGCCGCGCCTCCCTTGCCCTCCCGCGCCTGCCTGGCCCCGCCGCGTCTGCCTGGCCACACCCACTGCCCGCCCGGCCCCTCTTCGTGCCTGTTCGGCCTGCCGTGCCACCTCGAGCTCCGTCTACTCTGCTCGCCAGCGCCGGGGCGCCTCGCGACCGCCGTGCTGGAGAGTGCTGCCGCCGTGTCCCTACGTCGCTGTGTTCCTGCGGAGCTGTGGAGCTGTGCCGCTGACCCTGCACGATGGCTGACTTCGTGCTCCGACTGGACGCCGAGGGCCATGCGGTTGACTTCGCCGCCTGGCTCTCCGATCTCCGCCGCCACCTTACAGGTCAGCGCCAGGATGGCCACTCTTGGTTGTTCATGTCGATGGCTTGCTCCCCCGCCCCCCCGCACCTTCTGCCCTCCCTGCTGACCCCTCTCTGATGACCGTGAGACCTTCCTCTACTGCTGCGCTGGCCTGTGCGGTCTGGGACTCCCGCGATGCAGTCGCTCAGGTTGCTATTAGCCACGCCCTCCCTGTGTCTGAGCGCTCGCGTTTTGCTACTGTTGAGATGGCCAAAGCCTACTTAGACGCCGTTATTGCTCGCTATTCCACACCCGCGTCTGCTTCTGCTGGCCGCTTGCTCTTCCCGATGCTGTTCCCAGACCTTGCAGCCTTCCCTACCGTCGCAGACTTTGCCACTCACCTGCGTGCCCTAGAGACCGCTATCGCACTGCCAGCACTGCTGCCCAGCTCACTGCGCTCCCCCCCCCTTTTTGCATGACGCTCTATTTTATCGCCATGCGCCTGCCAGACCGCCTCGCTAGTGCTCGCGATCACTTCCTTAGCCAGCACCCGGGTGACCTCACCCTCACCGCCTTTGTCGACACCCTCACCGAGATCGAGACTCGCCAGCACACTATCGCTCAGTCGAGCGGTGCGCCGGCAGTCTCTATCTTTCACGGCTGTGCCCCTCCCAGTGCACGTTCACTGACGTTTCGGCTGCGGTCGCCACGGCACCCCTCTCACCGAGACGGCTGCTGCGTCCACCCGCAGCAGCGCTCGCGCCGCGGTGGCCGTGGCCGCCAGGGAGGTAGGGGTGGTGGCGCAGGTGGTGGTGGTCGTGGTGGTGGTGACGGTAGTCCGCCTGAGGGGACTACCACCGGTGGGCAGGAGCAGCAGCCCCAGCCGCAGCAGGAGCAGCCCCAGCAGCAGCCGCCGTCCCAGCAGCAGTCGCCGCAGCCGTGGGCCCGTCTCCCGCCTGGTTGGCCCGGCACCTCCGGAGGTAGTGGCCGTGGTGGCGGCCCGCGCAGCTCGGTGTCTACCGGCGGCTCCGGTGCTGTCACTTGCCAGTACCAGCTTCAGACCGGGCCTCTTCGCGGCACTCTGTGCCGCCGCCCGCACCCGACCGCCCGCTGTTTCCGCCGCCTCGACGATCTCTTTCGTCGTCGCTTTGGCCCGGCCCCGGACCTCCCCGACTGGCACAGCCTGCTCCGCCAGGGCGTGCCGATCTTTGAGTTAGACATGGATCAGATAGGTGCTGCTTTGCATGCTTGTATTCTGACGCTTCTAGTGTCTGGATCTTATTACCCTGTGTACTCTAGTTTAGGTGTTGCACCGTTGTGTAGCTTAGCCTCCCCTGCTGCGTCAGGCGTAGGACTGCCTAGTTTGCCTAGCCTAGTCTCTGCACCGGCTCCGTTCCCGGCCTCCGCCACCGCTTCGCTGTCCTTCACTCTCGACTCCGTGCTTCTGCCTGCTTCTTCCGCGACCGTTCCGCGCTCACGCCGCTTGCTACGCTGCTGTTGTCTCTCTCGCTGACCCCTCTGCGGGTCCTGTCGTCGCTCGCAGCTCTACGTCCCTTCCCTGTCCAGTTCCCTCGGGCTCCCTTACAGGCCTCCACGTTCCCTCGTTCTCGAGGAACCTGGTTGGTGTCGGCTGTCTCCAGGACCTCGGCGTCACCACCACGTTTCCCCGGGCACGAGCGGTTCGCTGTCTGTTCTGAGGCTGTCTCAGGTTCCCCCTTGCGACGTTCCCCCGGGACCCGGTGTCCGGTCTGTTTACCCTCGACACCGCTTCCCCCCCGGTTGGTGCGTCCTCCCAGGTCGCTGCAGCTTGCTCGTGTCGGTCCCTCACTCACCCGTCCCTTCTCTGGCACCACCGCCTAGGTCACCCTGCTCTCCCACGTCTGCGTCACATGTCCCAGCACGGTCTTGTCTTAGGTCTCCCGTCGCTCCCTGCCCTTCCTCCCTCGCTGCGCCACCGTGCACGCCTTGCGTCGAGGGCGGCTCCGCCGTGCTCCTCACTCCTCCTCGCTGCGCCTGCTACTGCCCCCTTCAGACCCTGCACCTGGACGTTTGGGGCCCTGCCCCGTCCCCGGACCGCGAGGTGAGCGCTACTTCCTTGTGCTCGTCGACGACTACACGCGCTACACCACGGTGTTTCCCCTGGAGCGGAAGGCCGACGTGCCCGACGTTCTTCTCCCGTGGGTTGTGGCTGCGCGTCTTCACCGCGGTCTCCCCGTGTTGTGTCTCCACTCTGACCGTGGCGGCGAGTTCGCCTCTGGTCGGCTTGGACAGTTCTGTCGTGCGGAGGGCATCACCCAGTCGTACACCTTGCCGGACTCGCCACAGCAGAATGGGGTTGCTGAGCGCCGCATCGGCTTGGTCATGGAGGTCGCCCGTACCTCCATGATTCATGCCGATGCCCCCCATTTTCTGTGGCCGTTCGCTGTTCGCTACGCTGCTCACCAGCTTAACTGTGGCCACGCTCCCAGCGGCCGCAGGTTTCGCCGACCCTCCTTTGGACCGGGTCCCCGGTGACGCGTCTGCGTTCCACGTCTGGGGCTGCCTTGCTCACGTTCGTGCCTCTGGCACGGACAAGCTCACTGCCCGCACTGTCCCCTGTGTCTTCCTCGGTTTCCCCCTGGACTCGTCTGACTGGCTTTTCTACCACCCGCCGTCTCACCGCTTCCTCCACTCTCGTGACGTCACCTTTGACGAGTCTGTCTCCTTCTACCGCCGCTTCCCTCACCGAGGTCTCCCAGTTGCCCCCCCTGTTCCTTGCTCCCTCTCCCCCGGTAGCCCCTGCTCTCTCCGCCTCGTCCTGCCCCGTCTGGTGTCTCCACGTCACTCCCCTCCCGTCGGTTGTCCCCGTTGAGGAGTCTGCTGACTCTGGTGGTACCCCGCCGTCCGTTGCCGCGTCCCCCTTCCCGGTG